TATATAAAATTCTCCAAAATTTGCCATTGAATCCCAATTTATACATTTTATACATTAGCCCTTTGATCCATAGTGTTGAACGCTTTTTGATTGTCAAGAAAAGCTGCATATACTTTCGATCTCTTCTCAATATAATAAGAGATATATTCTTTCACAATGAAAGCAGCCGTAATGCTACCGCATTGTTCTCTAAACCCCTGTTCCAATTTGTTTTCTAAAAAATTCTGTAAAACAGGTGATAACGTTATATCCCTGTAATTATCCATTGATACTCTATCTCGTTTCCCTCCCTTGAATAAAGTTATCACAATACCATATTTAAAATGTTCCGGATAGCTTTCGCTTTCGATAATGTTATTAATCATATGTACAATTATCTCCATCATAGTGTTACTAGCATATTTTATATGTTCTAATACTAATCCATCATGTTCCCCCGCTTTGCCACAGTTCATATTAGAAATAGCGCGCTTCACTTCTGGTAAAGATACCGGATGATCACATATACCATCAGAGTTGTTATAACTTTCTATATGCATGTTACGCGCGGCATTCTCAATATAGATCTTAAAGTTATCATCAAAGTGTGGTTGACTTAGGGGACATGCTAGTCTACTAAAGTGATCGTACCTAGCTTCTGTCACAATATCCGAATCACGCGTGATTTTCCCGTTTACTAAAAGTTCACATGAATGTGAATTTTTCCCTATTGACCTCTTCCGTCGTACGGCCTGGTAAAACGTACCAATATCTATCGATGCTAATGACTCTAATTCCGCAAATTGTTCACGCTCGTAGTCTTCGCGAGCTATATTTAGTTTATTGCGAAAACTTCTCTTAGCAGACATATAATTCGAATAAGATTCGAACTCGAAACCTCTTGGTCGACCTTCACTTATCCACAACAACCTGATAGTTCTCATCCTAGCATGCAGTGATTTAACTTGACGAGAATTCCAATACGGTCTTAAGTAATGCTTATATTGTTTCATAGACAGCGTTAATTTCGCTGCATTATTAAACAAATTCACTATATTTTCGATGTTTTTTTTACTGTAAAGATGTAGTTTCAATCATCGCGTCAAGTGATTGTTTATAGTTATTGATGTGCATCTCGGTCACCTTCTTCCAGTTTACAGAGTAGTCAAGAGTTATAGTATGACGCTTAGAAAGTAGTACGCGTAATGTAAGTTGTATAGGTCGATGATCAGACACGTTTAGAAACTGGTCATCGCATATACGACACGATTCGACAAGATCAATTTTAGATATCGGCACCAGAACATGGTCAATCATAGACACCCTACCACAGAAAGGCAAGTGTAATTTGGCCCATCAGACCAGTTTTGGGAATTGGCAGATATCAGAAATCGATCTCGCATAAACTGCTGCAGAATTCGCCCTCTCTCGTTAGCTTCAGCACTGTTTTTACTACCAAATTCTTTTGATAAATGAGCGTTAAAGTCTCCCATTACTATTACTGATCCATTTTCAACATATCATACATATCACATAGACATTGCATTGTATCTTTATAATCACATAGAGGTAAATTAGTGGACGGCATCAGTACACCAATAATATAATACGACATATTTCCAATATCAACATACCCATTACCCTTTCGTTGCCATCTTGAAGTAGAGGCGTTACCTTAAGATTTTACGCCATGGCATAGCAACTCCTCCAAAACCACGACCTTTCCTATTTTCAGGTTCTATTGCTATCCTGTGTCACATCTTCCGATATATTTGAAATCGTTGTCGATACTATCGAGGAAGCCCAATTGCTCCGGCATTAACCAGTGTTCTGCTAAAAAACTGATATCAGAATTACAAAGTGTTTCACATAAATATGGTGAACCAAACATAACACCGCGTATATTCCAGCTCTGTAATTTCACGGCAGCTAGAATGATAAGAGCAAGCACAGCAATAAGGTATGATATACACTTAATCATTGAGCCAGTCATCTTGGTACCTATCGTAGTTGTAGACCCCTCACAAGAAAATGGATCTATCGTTTTAACCCCTTACCAGAGAAGTGCTTCATCGTTCTAACTTCTTATCAGATAAAGGTTCTACCGTTCTTACCACTCACTAAACAATGGCTCCATCATTATAACCCCGCGCCAGACAAAGACTCAACCGTTCTAACCCCTCAACAGACAAAGGCTCCATCATTCTAACCCCGCACCAGAGAAGGGAATTACCGTTCTAACCATGCACCAGACAAACGCTCCATCATTCTAACCCCTCACCAGACAAACGCTCTACCGTTCTTACCCCTCACCAGACAAGGACTCTACCGTTCTAACCCCTCGCCAGACAAGGGCTCTCCCTAACCCTAACCAGACTAATGCTCTATCGTTCTAACCCCACACCAGAGAAGTGTTCCATCTTTCCAACCCCTCATCAGACAAAGGCTCTACCATTCTAACCACTCACCAGACAAAGGCTCCATCTTTCTTACCCCGCACAATACAAAGTCTCAACCGTTCTAACCCTTCAACAGACACACGCTCCATCATTCTAACCCCGCACCAGACAAAGGCTCAATCATTCTAACCCCTCACCAGAGGAAGGATTTACCGTTTTAACCCTGCACCAGACAAAAGCTGCACCGTTCTAACCCCTCACCAGACAAAGTCTCAACCGTTCTAACCCCTCAACAGACAAACGCTCCATCATTCTAACCCCGCACCAGACAAAGACTTTATCATCCTAACCCCGCGCCAGACAAAGACTCAATTGTTCTAAACCCTCAACAAAGGCTCAATCTTTCTAACCCCTCACTAGAGGAGGGAATTATCGTTCTAGCCCTGCACCAGACTTTAGCTCAACCGTTCTAGCCCCGCACCAGACAAAGCTCCCATCATTCTTACCCCTCACCAGAGAAGAGATTTACCGTTCTAACCCCTCACCAGACAAAGGCTCCATCGTTCTAACCACTGAACAGACACAGGCTCTACTGTTCTAACCCCTCACCAGAAAAAGGCTCTAACGTTCTTACCACTCACCAGACAAGGGCTTTACCGTTCGAAACCCTCGCCAGACAAGGACTCTACCGTTTCAACCCTTCACCAGACAAGGACTCTACCGTTCTAACCCCGCACCAGACAAAGGCTCCCATCATTCTTACCCCTCACCAGCGAAGGGATTTACCCTTTTAACCCTGCACCAGACTAAAGCTCAACCGTTCTAACCCCTCACCGGACAAAGGCTCCATCATTCTAACCCCTGAACAGACACAGGCTCTACTGTTCTAACCCCTCACCAGAGAAGGGATTCACCGTTCTAACACTGCACCAGATTAAAGCTCAGTGGTTCTAACCCCGCACCAGACAAAGGCTCGATCATTTTAACCCCTGAACAGACACAGGCTCTACTCTACTTCATGCCAGGTGAGCTAAAAATATATATCAGGTGTAGGAATTCAATACTACGGTTCAACGACAGAAAGTACAAAAAAATATACCAGGTGTAGAATTCAATACTACGGTTCAACGACAGGAAGTACAAAAATATATATCAATTTTCAGTGATTTCTCAAAATTTGTGTTACAGAAATTGGTGTTCACGTTTCTTTAACCAGGCTTTATTTCTACTATTGAACCCAATAATCACAGCTACAATTATCTACATGTTTGAGACAACTCTTTGCCCAAGGAATATGATATGACTTTGTTATACCGGTAGGTATGATTGGCCAGTACAATGTTAGACTTTGTTATACCGGTAGGTATGATTGGCCAGTACAATGTTGAATTTGTTATACCGGTAGGTATGATTGGCCAGTACAATGTTAGACTTTGTTATACCGGTAGGTATGATTGGCCAGGACAATGTTAGACTTTGTTATACCGGTAGGGATGATTGGCCAGTACAATGTTAGACTTTGTTATTCCGGTAGGTATGATTGGCCAGTACAATGTTAAATTTGTTATACCGGTAGGTATGATTGGCCAGTATAATGTTAGACTTTGTTATACCGGTAGGTATGATTGGCCAGTACAATGTTATTTGTAGTAAACACGTTTAACTGTAGCGGATTGTCACTGTGAATCATCCCACACATAAATGTACCAACGTCAACATTAAAACAATGAAAAATCAATGACTGTTTTTTTCCCCTTTATTATGGATTTTTTTTTGTTTCATCTTTTCCCCATTCTGAAAAAAAAATAAAAAAAATAATGTCAACTCCATCACAAAAAAAGAATGTTCACTTCCAAATTTCTACACTACATCAGAATGTTTGCTACATGTATAATGAGTTCTTGTTTTGAAACCTTGAACTTTGACCTTTATACATTTAAACAGGTTGGTAGCTGTTTTAAGATAATGTAAATATTCTTATACTAAACAGAAATTATATTTAAGTACTAGATTTCAATTCTTGTATCAATTTTTTCTTTAAATTTAGGAAAAATCTGAAATAATCTTACTCTTCTATTTCGTATCCTTTTTTCATGAATTTTTTCGGTTTATATTTCTGCTTCTTGCTGTAAAAATTAAAAAGAAGCACTTGTTATTTTACAATAAACACATCTGGATATGTTATATAATTGAAGTCTTTTGTTAACCTTAAAATAAAATAATCATACATTTTATGGTTGCAATTCCAGGGGTAATAAACAAAAAGAATATTTATCTATAATTTGCTCTGATAACTTTTTACAGTAACTTTTTGTGTCTTTAGGTCATTTCTTTCACGACAGAAATTTTATAACTTTATAGTTCCTTTCTCATAGTAATGTTTCCATTCTTTACATCATGTTTCTATCTTACAGTTACATTTCTCATTATGCAAAGAATTTATTTTTTTATCACAGAACTTTTATTCATACCTGGCTTCAAGTCTTGGTTCAATCACATTTCTTTTCTGTAAACTTTTAAATCTGTCAACCATTAAATGTCCTTCTGGCTGTAAGAATCAACATCAAATAAAATACATTATTAGTATTACATTTAGATTGAACGGTAAAACCTGAAAAAATCTGCAAAATCTGCCTAATTTTGAGAAATGGCTTTATTCTCTAATTAAAACTGCGAAGCAATTTATACAACAGAGTGCACAACTATTCAATTCATTATGCCATAAATTAATATAATGGAAAACAATCCTTGTATCTAATATTATACAATGTATATAAATTTTTCTACCACAATACGCTGTGTTATTCCACTCTCAGATCATTGTATAAACACGTAGACTGTTAGATAAATATGAGTTATATACCACACGTGGTATATGACCTTCAAGAGTTTTGATTGGTCGAGGAGATGAACTTTGACCGGGACGACTTTTTCCACGCGCTTTTTGCCAAGTTTTGTTTACGTCGTCTGCTATCAACATCTGACAAATGTTGGTGACTTTGTGAGGTTATGCGGAAAAGGGGGTTATTAAGGCAATATTAAAAGAATATGATATTTAAAGATTTGATGGCTAGTTTCAGGCAAAATTGCTACAGACGCTCGATATCGTTTCGACGTCACACCGTCACATATCCAGGTCGTGAAACCAAAACAAGATCTGTCAGTGTCGGAAAATATTTCGTTCTCCAAACGTCCCGTTATCGCTATTTGGACGGCCTGACTATGGCTGAACTTTCACTATAAACGTCAACCATAGAACCGTCAAGAAGAAACGTAGACCTATGGTCTTCGACATTGACAGCGATGAGTTCGTCTTCGTCACTTGGCGGGAGGCAGACTTCGTACGATATGCTTACACGCATATAGTCCGTACGTGGTTAATTTATATAAATTAATGCAATACTGCTACTCTCAATATTTAAAGTCGTTCATCTATTATACTTTTTCATGAAGTTGTTGCCGAAACATTAATTTTGACAATTATTAAATTTGTAAAAAAGAAGTTGTTTTTGAATATTAATGAGTGACTTTTTATATATGGGTCATATCACTACGCCAGCCTTGTCAACAAACACATGTGTGTATGTTATTTCCGACTGATCATGAGATTGTGGTAGAAACAGATCACACGACTCGCTAAAGCTCGTGTCTTTTGTAACTTTTGAAAATTAACTAACTCGAGCGAAATAAATACCATATTCAACAACCACTCGTTGTGTAACCTCTATATATACTGATTACAATTATTTTGATATCTTTTTCAACAAAATATGTGTTCATATCATAGCGCAAAATCAATATGAATTAAGCTTTAATAAATGGCGAACTTATCTTGTATTCAAACATTTAACACATTGACTTTTCATTTTTTTATCACCTATATATATGTGTGTACTTGAAAACATCAAAGACCCATCAATTCTTACCTTCAGAAGTCTGAGAGGCCCAGCCAGTTCCTCGCTTAATTTTATTTCAATCTCTGCTTCTTCAAATCTAGCCAAAGTCAAGGTCATTTACTTTTGTAGTTTCTGTTGACTTTATTTTAATTCAGGCCTTCAGAACTTCAGGTACCAACATTTCTACCAATGCCTTTTGAAGCAAACACAAACTCAGGTAATTATCTTACAGCTGTACTGATACTACAATTGTACCTTACATTCCAGTGTTAGTGTATATTTGTAGCATGGTTGGTGGGTGACCAGGTAGTTATCTTACAGCTGTACTGATCCTACAATTGTACCTTACATACTAGTGTTAGTGTATATTTGTAACATGGTTGGTGGGGGACCAGGTAATTATCTTACAGTTGTACTGATACTACAATTGTACATTACATACCAGTGTTAGTATATATTGGTAACATGGTTGGTGGGTGGCCAGGTAATTATCTTACAGCTGTAATGATACTACAATTGTACCTTACAATCTAGCCAAAGTCAAGGTCATTTACTTTTGTAGTTTCTGTTGACTTTATTTTAATTCAGGCCTTCAGAACTTCAGGTACCAACATTTCTACCAATGCCTTTTGAAGCAAGCACAAACTCAGGTAATTATCTTACAGCTGTACGGATACTACAATTGTACCTTACAATCTAGCCAAAGTCAAGGTCATTTACTTTTGTAGTTTCTGTTGACTTTATTTTAATTCAGGCCTTCGGAACTTCAGGTACCAACATTTCTACCAATGCCTTTAGAAGCAAACACAAACTCAGGTAATTATCTTACAGCTGTACGGATACTACAATTGTACCTTACAGACCAGTGTTAGTGTATATTTGTAGCATGGTTGGTGGGTGACCAGGGAATTATCTTACAGCTGTACTGATCCTACAATTGTACCTTACATACCAGTGTGAGTATATATTTGTAACATGGTTGGCGGGTGACCAGGTAATTATCTTTCAGCTGAACTGATACTACAATTGTACCTTACATTCCAGTGTTAGTATATATTTGTAATATGGTTGGTGGGTGACCAGGTAGTTATCTTACAGCTGTACTGATCCTACAATTGTACCTTACATACTAGTGTTAGTATATATTTGTAACATGGTTGGTGGGCGACCAGGTAATTATCTTACAGCTGGACTGATACTACAATTGTACCTTACAGACCAGTGTTAGTGTATATTTGTAGCATGGTTGGTGGGTGACCAGGTAATTTTTTTACAGCTGTACTGATACTACACTTGTACCTTACATACCAGTGTAAGTATATATTTGTAACATTGTTGGTGGGTGACCAGGTAATTCTCTTACAGCTGTACGGATACTACAATTGTACCTTACATTCCAGTGTTAGTGTATATTTGTAGCATGGTTGGTGGGTGACCAGGCAATTATCTTACAGCTGTACTGATCCTACAATTGTACCTTACATACCAGTGTGAGTATATATTTGTAACATGGTTGGCGGGTGACCAGGTAATTATCTTTCAGCTGAACTGATACTACAATTGTACCTTACAATCTAGCCAAAGTCAAGGTCATTTACTTTTGTAGTTTCTGTTGACTTTATTTTAATTCAGGCCTTCAGAACTTCAGGTACCAACATTTCTACCAATGCCTTTTGAAGCAAACACAAACTCAGATAATTATCTTACAGCTGGACTGATACTACAATTGTACCTTATATACCAGTGTTAGTATATATTGGTAACATGGTTGGTGGGTGGCCAGGTAATTATCTTACAGCTGTAATGATACTACAATTGTACCTTACATTCCAGTGTTAGTATATATTTGTAATATGGTTGGTGGGTGACCAGGTAGTTATCTTACAGCTGTACTGATCCTACAATTGTACCTTACATACCAGTGTTAGTGTATATTTGTAACATGGTTGGTTGGTGACCATGTAATTATCTTACAGCTGTACGGATACTACAATTGTACCTTACAATCTAGCCAAAGTCAAGGTCATTTACTTTTGTAGTTTCTGTTGACTTTATTTTAATTCAGGCCTTCAGAACTTCAGGTACCAACATTCCTACCAATGCCTTTTGAAGCAAACACAAACTCAGATAATTATCTTACAGCTGGACTGATACTACAATTGTACCTTACATACCAGTGTGAGTATATATTTGTAACATGGTTGGCGGGTGACCAGGTAATTATCTTACAGCTGTAATGATACTACAATTGTACCTTACAGACCAGTGTTAGTATATATTTGTAATATGGTTGGTGGGTGACCAGGTAATTCTCTTACAGCTGTACGGATACTACAATTGTACCTTACATTCCAGTGTTAGTATATATTTGTAATATGGTTGGTGGGTGACCAGGTAGTTATCTTACAGCTGTACTGATCCTACAATTGTACCTTACATACCAGTGTTAGTGTATATTTGTATTACATTTAGGGCCTGTAAAATTATACCGAGATTTTTCAATGTTGTCAAGGATACTTGACCTTCCCCAACTTTCGAGTATTCATGCCTTCATTTTCATGTCGTTCTTTCTTAAGTTTCGCCCTCCCTGCCAGGTCCTTCTCCCTTGCCTTTATTTCAGCCTTGATGCCCTTTAATCTGTTTAAATATCATTACAGACAGCATAAGTAATAAAGAAGACTACAACAACAGGCTAGGCTACAATATAACTGTCTCACTACTATGGGGTAATCCTAAGGTATACAACATGAGAATCAGTTTTAGTACAGTAGTCACAGAAATCAGTGACTACTTCTGTTGCAGAGCTAAATTTAATTCCAAAAAATACAAATTTTGTTAAAATTTATATTTAAGGATTTGACAAGAGAGCGGTTTATGTTAAGAGTGCACTATGGTTTTCTGTCATTTTTTACATCAATACACCAATTTAATATCTTGTCTTATTATTATATTTTAATTTAAAAAAAAAACAATCTTTTACTGCACAAAATTATGTGTCATTTTCATTTACATAAAAAAGAGTATTTTTAATATAAATTGTGCAACTGCTGATCAATTGAATGCTGTGTTTTAAATTCCCCATGTGTGTGCTATATTGAATGCTGTGTTTTAAATTCCCCATGTGTGTGCTATATTGAATGCTGTGTTTTAAATTCCCCATGTGTGTGCTATATCGAATGCCGTGTTTTAAAATTCCCCATGTGCATGCTATATCGAATGCTGTGTTTTAAATCCCCCATGTGTGTGCTATATCGAATGCCGTGTTTTAAATCCCCCATGTGTGTGCTATATCGAATGCCGTGTTTTAAATCCCCCATATGAGTGCTAAAAGGAGCCAATTTAGTTTCGCCAGAGCTTTTACCAGGCTAACAGGCTCTTTTACAAGTACTCTTTCGAATAATGATGCTAATAAGGCCATATTGACATCTTTGCAAGTCATCAGGAATATTTCCATGTCATCTGTTCTAAAATTGAGTATAATGTAATGTATTTCCAATAGCAAAAGACAAGGTACGAGGATTATTCAAGTGTGGCAAATAAGTTGCGTTTTTCCTGGAGAAAAAATTGTACTTTGTTCAACAAAATGCGCTCTCATTTTTACCTGAAGAATTCCTTTTCTCTTGATTTAACTGATTTCTCTTTTAGTTTACTGTGTTCCTGAAACAGATCAGCAAGTAAAATCTTGATATTTTTTTTTATAAATGTCATTCAATTCTCATGATCAAAGATCATGCAAAAAGAAATATCTCTGTAGTTCAATGTAGTCAATAGTCAGAATGATATCAACAGGCTTCTTTGGCAAGGGATAAATTAAATTTTGTGAATGCATAATAAAAAGTTAACTGCAGTACCTAATGAATATTTTTCACTTTATGTTAAATAATCGCCTATACTATTGTTTAACGGATTATGAGAGTGTATCACAACCTCCATCATTATACCTTTTCTTTATTACTTTTCTCCTTGTTTCTCTGGACTTTGGTTTTCTTGTCCTCCCTGCGGATGGGCGGAGCCACAGACAGTTTTTCAAGCTCCTCCTCCGTAAACTCAACCTGCTCTTCCTCTTCCTCGTTCAGTCCTGACGTCATTTCAGCTCTAAGATTCTCCTGTAAATTATTGGCATGGTAAAATAAAGTGTTGATTAAATAATATCAAAAGACTAATTTAACAAGAGGCCCAGAGGGCCTGTATCGCTCACCTGGATATCTAAGCAATCATGGCAAAATATTATCCTTATAAGTTCCAAGGGAATGGGCCAGACCCTAAGACCAAACGTTGTAACATGTTTATGCCCAGCAAGTTTAGGTCCCTAGGGTTGTGGCCAAACCCCAGGGTCAATTCTAATATCATGACAGCATTTGTCTCTTTATGCCCAGCATTTGTATATATAGTTTTGGGGTGGGAATCTCATCTGTTTCAAAGTTATGACCCCAGGGTTAAGTTTGCAAGGGTGGGACAGATCCCAGGGTCAATTCTAATATCATGACAGCATTTGTCTCTTTATGCCCAACAATTGTATATATAATTTTGGCGTGGGGATATCAACCGTTTCAAAGTTATGACTCAGGGGTTAAGTTTGCAAGGATGGGGGCGATCCCGGGCTCAATTCTAATATCATGACAGCATTTGTCTCTTTATGCCAAACAATTGTATACTTTCTATAGTTTTGGGGTGGGGATCTCAACCGTTTCAGAGTTATGACCCAGGTGTTAAGATTGCAAGGGAGGGGTAGATCCCAGGGTCAATTATAATATCTCATAACAGCATTTGTCTCTATATGCAAAACAGTTGTATATATAGTTTTGGGGTGGGGATCTCAACCGTTTCAAAGTTATGACCCAGGGGTTAAGTTTGCAAGGGTGGGGCAGATCCCAGGGTCAATTATAATATCATAACAGCATTTGTCTCTATATGCAAAACAGTTGTATATATAGTTTTGGGGTGGGGATCTCAACAGTTTCAAAGTTATGACCCAGGAGTTAAGTCTCCAAGGGTGGGGCAGACCCCAAGGCCATCCTGGAAGCATATGTGCATTCTTCTCTTTATACTCAGCAACTGTATATATGGTTATAGGGTGGGGATTTCAACCATTTTCAGGTAATAAACTATTTTTGGCCCCACCCCTTAGCCCAGGGGGGTCAACCCCCCAATATTTGTACAATTTTCAATCCCCACTTTCCATGAATGCTTCCGACCAAATATGATTTATATCCAGTGCATAGTTCTACAGAAGAAGTTGTTCATAGCAATATAGCCTAATTGCCCCCTTTTGGCCCCAACTCTCAGCCCCCTGGGGGGTAAGCCCCACCATTTGTACAATTTTGAATCCCCACTACCTAGGGATGCTTCCAGTCGAATATGGTTGATATAGATCTCTTAGTTCCAGAGAAGAAGTCACTAAAAGCAATATAGCCAAATTGCCCCCTTTTGGCCCCGCCCCTCAGCCCCATGGGGGGTCAGCCTGACCATTTGTACAATTTTGAATCCCCACTACCTAGTGATACGTCCAATCAAATATCATATATATCTATCGCCTAGTTCCACAGTAGAAGTCGTTTATATCAATATAGCCAAATTGCCCCCTTTTGGCCCCACCCCTAAGCCCCCTGGGGGGTCAGCTCCACCATTTGTAAAATGTTAATCCCCACTACTAAGGGATGCTTCCAGTCAAATTTAGTCAAATTCCAATCAGTGGTTAAGAAGAAGAAGTCGTTTGAAGAAATTGTTGACGTACAGACGACGGACAACACGGTACGGCATAAGCTCACCTTGGTCCTTCGGACCAGGTGAGCTAAAAATTGGTTGCAGAAAAAATACACCATGATCTGGTGCTTAATATCAACAGAAAAGTTAAACACAAAACCATCATATCTATAACTTTTCATATAAATTGTTCAAATATACTTTTATGAAACATCGATTCATTTTATACAGAAACTATTTTCCCTAACTTTTTTACATAACATCCTTTAAGAACATTTTGTAACATGAAGTTAAGTATGGTTGTGTTTAACCACCTACCTCTAGCTCTGTTGCGGAGATTGTCCTGAACTTAGCTTCTACAGCATTGTAAAGTTTCCGCTCTTTTCTCTCTCGCTTTACCTCTACATCAAGGGCCTTGGCCAGCAAGTTCTGGATAGGACAACAAATTTGTTAGCTGCAACTCGGACAAGCATGCAGTTCATTCATTGGCCAAAAATAGTCACATGATGACCCTTTGTGAAACTATAGTGTGTTGGTATGAATTTTATAGAGGCCACATTACATTTCAATTACAAATGGCGTCATTGACAACAAACGTATATTCTGGTTTTTGTGCCAATTTTGACATGAGGTTGGAAAAATAAAGTTTGTTCTGTTTAGTAAACTGTTTCACCTGATGATCTTCGTATGAGGGATTGTAGGAGGCTCCAGGGTCAGGGACTTGTACACTGGATACTTCTGATGGCTTCTCAGTGTAGTGTTTAGGTACCTACGATTGAAACAAACAAGTCATTATATCATATATACCTTAAAGGTTGAGGAAGGAGAGGTACATAGAAACATTAACTCTAAACAACAGACTTTATGTCAAATTTAAAGAATTAATTAATCTCTTTCATACTCAAATTGTTTAACTGTCATTGCATTCACTACATTCGGTATTTATATGTATTTATATATTATATTATTTGCTTTCATGAAAATCGAAGCATTGCATTCAGGATTATAAAAGAAAGCTTAATGGAAAATACCTAAGATGGCTAATTCAAGTGGCCATGCTTGTTTTCAGATTTAATTTAAAATCCATTTTCTGCAGGTAATAGATACTAAAGGTATACATAGAATGTTTTATGAAAATCAAACATTCATTTCCAGAGTTATCACACAACCATTGTCATGGATGACAATGCTATGATATAAGCAGCTGACTACAATGTACTTACAGTAACAAGAGATTGTAAGAGTTGATATATTGCTACTTACATTGATTCTTCTCCTCTTTGTGACCACACAGTAATGGGGGTCTTCATTCCTGTTGTCATCATTTACATCTGTTTAAACAAGACATAGCCAAAAACATACATGTATTAAAGCTTTAACAGTGCACAATACATTTCTGTAATTTAATGTGACTGGATTGTAGTGAAGTGTTCAGTTTCAAATATCCATGGTAATATTTCACAAACAACAAGTACCAGGTATATTTCCATTCCCTGAGAGATTTTGCTCCTTTCCTCCTTCTTACATTCGCCTCTCCCAATGACACTGTAACATGTTCATCCCTGCATGTCCCCTCCCAGGAAGATCCTGATCCTTTTCCTCCTCCTCCCAAATATATATCCTTACATTTCCCCTCCCTGGAGGATCCTGTCCCCTTTCCATCCAGGTAGTTATCCCTTTCAAATATGTATCCTTACAAAATCTTTCCTTTCCTGGAAGATCCTGTCACCTTCCTTCTGAGTCCCCCCCCCCTTTCAAACAAGTATATATCTTTTCATTTTTTCTTCAAGGAAGATGCTGTCCCATTTCTTACCCCTCCAAAATAGAAATCTTAGTATGTCCCCTTCCATAGTATATAACCTTCTTTCCTCCCTCTCAGGTAATCAATACCTGTTTATCTGACACAGCTAATTATAATAGTGTAATAACAACAATATCCAATCACTCAAAATAATAAACAAACTAAATTAATATTCAAAACTCTAATTAATCATTCAAAACCTAAAACATTTCACTTCCTGTTAATGTAAGAAAGCTGCAACATATGTGTTCTGACCACGTGCGGGATGTTCCGTTTTTAAAAAGGACGAGTCTTCCACCCAACAGCAATCTTATGTCTAATCGAGTATAACATTATATATATATGTATACATGTACACATACACATGAATACATATATATGTACCGTCGGGGAGCGATGTACAACCTGAAGCGGTTCACCATTTTTCGACTGTACAAAGCTTAAACGGTGGATATAAATCAGGATAGAACTGTAATACCACTATAAACTGTATAATACGACCCATAAAATAGGTCCTCTCGCTCATTCGGCGTAAACAGTTTTGGTTTTACCTCTATTTCCCCTATTGGGCCCCGCCTCTCTGCCTCCAGGGGGGTTAGACACATCGTTTATACAAAATTGGTTCCCCTTCACCCAATGATGCTTCACACCAAATTTGGACAATATCCTGTCATTCGTACAGAAGAAGGTATTTGAAGAATTTGCTATGTTTCCCCTATTGGGCCCCTCCCTTCTGTCCCCAGGTGGGCCACACTCGCTGTTTATACGAAATTGAGTCCCTTTTGTCCAAGGATGCTCCAGACTAAATTAGGATAAAATCCCTCAATCCATTTGGTAGAAGAAGGATTATAAAGGTTTTACTTCTATTCCCCTATTGGGCCCCGCCCCTCAGGTCCAAGTGGGGCCACACCCACCGTTTATACAAAATTGGTTCCCCTTTACCCAAGGATGCTCCACACCAAATATGGACCAAATCCTTTCATTCCTACAGAAGAAGAAGGATTTTAAAGAATAATTTGCTATGTTTCCCCTATTGGGCCTGCCCCTCAGGCCCCTGAGGGGCCAGACCCACGGTTTATACAAAATTGGTTCCCCTTCACCCAAGGATGCTTCAGACCAAATATGGTAAAAAAAAACACCATTCCTACAGAAGAAGGATATTAAAGAATTTGCTATATTTCCCCTATTGGGCCCCGCCCCTCAGCCCCCAGGGGGGCCAGACCCACCGTTTATACAAAATTAGTTCCCCTTTAACCAAGGATGCTCCACACCAAATATGGAACAAATCCTTTCCTTCCGACAGAAGAAGAATGATTTTGAAGAATAATTTGCTATGTTTCCCCTATTGGGCCCCACCTCTCAGGCCCCAGGCGGGCCAGACCCATGGTTTATACAAAATTGGTTCCCTTTCACCCAAGGATGCTTCAGACCAAATATGAAACAAATCCTTGCATTCCTACAGAAGAAGGATTTTAAAGAATTTGCTATATTTCCCCTATTGGGCCCCGCCCCCCAGCCCCCAGGGGGGCCACACCCACCATTTATACAAAATTAAGTCCCCTTGGCCCAAGGATGCTCCAGACTAAATTAGGATAAAACCCTTTAATCCCTACGGTAGAAGAAGGATTTTCAAGGTTTTACCTCTATTTCCCCTATTGGGCCCCGCCCCTCTGCCCCCAGGGGGGCCACACCCACAGTGTATACAAAATTGAGTCCCCTTGGCCTAAGGATACTCTAGACTAAATTTAGTCAAAATCTACTTGGCCGTTCAGGACTAGTAGCGTTTTAACTCTTTCCGTACCGCAACTCCGGTCCGGATTCCGTACCGGATGTACTTATTAGACTCGTCCCCGCGCATATAACACAATGGCCGATTATTAATGTACTTTTTAGACAAGGTGTAACTGCCGCAAGAATTAAACAGGTAACCGTGAACAAATATTGTTATTGTTTCATGTTCTGGTTCATAGACAAACTCTTCTTCATTTTCGCAGCATAATGACTAACTGGCAGCTGATTATGACTGAGAAATCGACATTTGTCTGGCAATAAACGATACGATTCCTTGTATTTAACACAGCGTTGTATTGCAGGTTTGAAATGGGGATTGATTATGGTTACGAATGCGGAGTTGTTGATTTTTTTCTAAATACAAGTAGATTTCATCAAGACTTATATTAGAATATTCAAATTTACTTCCATAAGTCTCAACAAATATCTGATGATGAATTTACGAGTGTTCGTATCGAATTAAGTTGCCGCCATCTTGTATACATTTTAGACACCAAACGCAAACTTCTTGCGGCAAATACGAAAACATTAAGTCACATCATAAAAAAGTTTACTCTGCACAAATAAAATCATTTAATCCAAACTGATGGGTTCTGATTTTATCGACAATTGATTGTTTTTTCCCCCGACAGTCTCGTGTGATAACCAACTAAACATCAGGCAGGTTACATCAAAGTCTCTTGTCGTGTGTACACGACAACGGGGATGAGATGGCCCTTTATTTTGTCGTCTGTACACGACAACGGGGAGCAGGATGACATATTGTTGTCGTGTGTACACGACAACGGTACGGAAAGAGTTAAAGGAAAAGTTGATGGATGGACGACGGACGCTGCGGTATGGCATAAGCTCACGATGGTCCTTAGGACCAGGTGAGCTAAAAAAACAGGAAAAAAAAACAAAGTACCATCCCACAACCAACACCCACCCACCCTTCCAATCATCCCCAACCACTCTCCGGTCCATAATAATAAACCGATACTAATAATCACACTATACACTAAAATTCATAAATGTCGGAACGATGAGCAGAATTAAGTGAAAGACAAGTCGATGATTTTAAGAAAGGTGACATTGGAACAAATACAGTCAGGTATATTCTCAGTGACAAACGATAAAGAGTGGAGTACTTCGAACGGACAACAAAAAATAAACCAAGAGGCCCAATGGGCCTGCATCGCTCACCTGGTATTAATCTCACACTTGTAATCTTAAAAGTGGACTAAAATACAGCTACAGGCAGAATATCAGTATTTGATTCATAAGAACCTATTAAAAGATTTAAACATATGACGCCTGTGACCTTGAATGTCGAAAACAAGGACATCAGGTTGAAAGTAGATCAAGGTCATTCATTTGAACAAACTTGGTAGTCCTTCATCCCTGCATGCTACAGGCCTAATTTCAGTACCCTGGGCCTTTTGGTTATTGAGAAGAAGTCGTTTGAAGATTTTACGACATTTGACCCCTTTGACCTTGAAAGTTGGTCAAGGTCATTCATTTGAACAAACTTGGTAGTCCTTCATCCCAGCATGCTACAGGTCCAATATCAGTACCCTGGGCCTTTCAGTTATTGAGAAGAAGTTGTTTGAAGATTTTAAGACATTTGACCCCTTTGACCTTGAAAATTGGTCAAGATCATTCATTTTTACAAACTTGGTAGCCCTTCATCCCGGCATGTAACAGGCTCAATATCAGTACCCTGGGCCTTTTGGTTATTGAGAAGAAGTCGTTTGAAGATTTTAAGACATCTGACCCCAGTGACCTTGAAAGTTGGTCAAGGTCATACATTTTAACAAAATTGGTAGCCCTTCATCCCAGCATGCTACAGGCCCAATATCAGTACCCTGGGCCTTTTAGTTATTGAGAAGAAGTTGTTTGAAGATTTTAAGACATCGGACCCCAGTGACCTTGAAAGTTGGTCAAGGTCATTCCTTTGAACAAACTTTGTAGCCCTTCATCCCAGCATGATACAGGCCAAATATCAGTACCCTGGACCTTTTCGTTATTGAGAAGAAGTTGTTTAAAGTAAAAAGTTGACGCCGGCACGGTACCTCACTTCTGGTCCAGACTTGGTGACACTGTACGACGAGTGTTAGGTTAAGGCATTATTAGGCATAGGAGCCATATTCCAAAAACTAGACTTATACAGTTAATATATATAGGATAGACGGTTCCTTCTCTAACCTAATCCCTCTTCTACTCTTTACTCCATACTTTATCCCTTCTACTCATTTTCCTTTCTTTTCTTCGTCTGCTGGATAACCAAACGACTCGGTAGTGAAGTGGACGTAAAACCTATCAATCAATCAATCAATCAATCTCTCAGGTAATTATAAATGTCCTTACCTGTCTCCCACAAGTCATAGTTGGCTACCGGTACTTTATTTTTGTTTCTGCGGGCCTCTGCCCTTTGTTGGTTTCTTGTTTTACGCTGTTTTACTGCTTGTTTCTCTGTTAATGTCTGTTTACCACTTTTTATCTTTCTGCTTAGTCTTTCTACTTCGGGTTGTATTTTCCTTATATTGTGGGAGCTGAAATTATTGACATGTTTTAATTTTTAACATGTATCTTGAGATATCTCCAAACATGTTATGGTCTCAGACCATGTCCAAGTCTTAAATACTGTTAAAAATATATATTTCTTTGAAACAAAAATTCCATAATGTGATGATAGAACTTTCTTAATATTTTCCAGGACCGATACAAATAGTTCTAATACAAATATATCTTATACAATACTGTAGTTCTGTTTTCTATGGGTTAGCCATATTTCATGGGGATTAATTTAAACTAATTTATAACAAAATGGACAAGGCACTACACAAAAGATTAAAAGTAGTTTCCATCAATGCAATGAAACAACAATATAATCAGTATTGAAATTCTCTTATGTAATACTGTGCAGCTGGCAAACACATTACATGAACTGTGAGTTGAAACTTACATAGATATAGCCTTTATGTTGGGGTCAGGTTCTAGGCTGGAATGGCACTTCAGTGCTCTTTTTCTGTTTTTCTTTTGATACTTTGAGTCTGAAATGAAAGGTTTTAGAAAACAAAATGTTTGTTAACCAATTTCTATCTACCCTCAACTAAATATCAGGAATCTCATTCAGCTATAAAAGTATGTTCATGTCTAGTGTATCAAACAAGCAGAACTATTGTTGTGGTACTAGATTTGCTTAATGTTACAGTTTCATGTCGAATGGTTGGACAGCACTGAATATAGAATGACATTTCTTCCTTGAAAGGTAAATCATTATTCCTTTCTAGTAGGAAAAACTTGATGATATTTTTCAATGATTGGGGACTTTCATGTTTATTCAAAATGATTCAATTTTGTAATACAAAATCAAAGCGTTCTTTCGTGTGATGCATTCAAATTCTTATTTATATTAATAACATCTCTCTGATTTGCTCTCTTTATTTTGGAAGGGAATACTCTACTGTTGATACCTACTTTTGGCATTTGTTTTTGCATTAAGAATTTATCTTGAATTCAAGAATCATTCATGCAAACAATTATTTATACATATAATGCAAACAATTATTTCACATAATGTGAACAATTATCTAAAAGATAAATGCAGTTATACATAAAACACACAAAAATGTATACATAACACAAACAATTATTTATACATCTAGGACATCTGATATGAGTTAACTGTAAATAAGTACAGAAAATCAGTTCACACAACTAACTGTATGTAAAATAAAAAGTAATCGACGGCATCCAGCTATTTGGGGCATATATATATAGCTTAAATTTCCCGGGGAAGAACAGTACTGCTGTAAAAATGCCAATTATTATTACTGTCTAGGCGCTATTGCCTTTCCATATTGACCTGCTGCTTTTACTTCAAGCGAAATGATGATGCTATGAAATTGTATCGCTTATTACACTAAAATTAGAGCCAATCAGATAGAATGTCTCAAAGTCAAGCACATTTTACATGTATATCACAGACGTATTTCCAAGTTTGATTTAGAAGTTACTTTTATAAATATTACCATTTTCCTTGGGATCAAAAGCATCTTTGTCAACCACGAACAACTGGTCATCTGCCTTCTCTGCAACAAGACCACTGAAAGAAAGTATCAACCAGTCAAACAGTGTAAAAGTATCAAACAGTCAAACAGTGTACACCAGTTCTAAACATTATGATAATTTGATATTTGAATATTAAATTATAGTTTTTATACAACAAGTTTTCCTTGCTGCCTATGTTTTCTGTTTTTATGTAACGTAGGTTGTGTATGTGTATATATGTAGCTGCCAATTAGCATGTATATGTATATGTTAATGAGATTAGAGGGATGCTGCTGATTGACCAATCAGCGTCCGCTGAGAGAAAGATTTTTGAGCCCCCACAGCATAGTTTTCTGAGTCATTGAAGGAGATTGTTGTGCATTCCCACCCGCCATCCCCTTCAACTCCTCTAATTGTACTGTTCATTCATGCTATATATATATATATATATATATAATCTGTACTTATATATGATTGTAGTAACATATATGTATGCTATAACATTATTTTGTGTGCTTTGGTGTTGCTATACCCTTAAGCTGTCATATAAATGTCAGCCCGGTTGGTCTCTTGATTTTGTTTTTATTGTCTGGGCTACTCACTCTTAGTTTTATTTTGGAATCCAACAGGCATTTAATTCGTTGGGATTTAATTCTTGGGGAATTCTACCCTCAATCTCATAATAATATTATAGTATTTTATGACAGTATGTTTCAGCTTCTCTCATATCGTTGAGGGTCTAGCTAACATATTCAGCTTCTCTCATACCGTTGAGGGTCTAGCTAGTCGTTGAATATTATATTTCTCATGAGCTTCTCCAGGGTCGCTCGCAGAGTCTAGTAGCTTCTCTGGAATCGACCAGGGTCTAGTTGCTTCTCTGTATCTTTGGAGTCTTGGTCGATCATGTAGCTAGCTACTCTGGGACACCTCAGGGTCCAGATTCTTTAAATTTTAAAATATTCTATAAGTAAGTTTAGTTGTTTTGGTATAGAGTGAGTAGCCCCTGATACGCCAACCTTGAAGCTTGTATGTATTATAACTGTAGTGTAATAAACAGGTTAAACTGTTCTTGCGTGTTTTGTTGTGTATAAATCAAATGTTGAAGTTAAAAGTTTCTTCACAGTATGGAACTGACCAATTTTCTTTGCTATATTTACACTTGCCTGAAAACTGCAATTATTCATGTATATGTTATGTTGACAGGACATATTTTTCTACACATAAAAACAAAATTTATATTACAATGATACTGAAAATTCACAACTAAAAGCAAACTACTTGATTCGTGTTTTAGCTTAAAATTTTGTCAATGCTCTACAAGACTGCTTCTAAAAAAAACAGTCTTCAAGATCTAGAATTATGAAAATCAATAGAGTTAATATATAAGATACCATCAGCAAATATTGATAATCATGATAGTAAATCATTAGTAAATTACATTACATTAACTGTAGCACCCTTTGGCCTTAGATTTTATAAATGACAGACTCATAGTCCATGTACATGCCACCTTGCAGATAATACATGACTAATCTGGAAACTGTTATGTAATTCTGCATAACTGTGGTCTCAAGAGTATTACTTTGATTAAAGAGAAAAGGAAATTGACATGACAATGTTACAGTTACATTGTAGGTTAATTATAATTGTCCAGCTTTGACCTCCGAGTAGATCTTCGATAATCTTAACTTAGCAATTGCCCAATTTTTTTAAAGTATAGACCAATCAAATCACTAACAGTGAGCATACATGTAGAATCTTGGATTCTCATTTCAATCTTGAGGAAAAACAAGACGTTTCGGGACATAACATAAGATGTTTCGGGACTTAATCAAATCGTTTCAGGACATATAAAATTTTCACTTATAAATTACATTTCCCTCCCGTTTCATATAAAGTCCTGTAAATACAAAAGCATGGTTTTAGACTATGACCTGCGTCACGACCTACCCGTGCCTGGGATCATTAGTGTTACCAGATTGCTAGAGCTTGAGGGGATACCTACCAACCTTTACCCGATTGACAGTGTACGTGTGTTGTTACCTGGTGAAACTAGTATCATTATCAAATACAGAGACAGGGCTCAGGCTAACCACCCGGCCACTCGTCCTTACCGGGTGAAAAATGAAAAGGACTAGTGGAATTTACAACCACACTCGTCCCGGTGCCGAGTCAATATTACTGAAACATACACCAGATCTGTCGCCTAAATATTGTGATGGATAATCAATGGAACACTTTTTACCAAGTAACTTTCGTCACAGCATCAGAAGTAAACAACGTAAAACATGCCGTTTTCATGCTTGTCATAAAGATCACCTGAGCGCTTGAATCAAAGCGTCCTGAACAATGTACTGCTGGGCCCGACTGCAGCAATCGCAGTAGGGAACTAGACTACATAATGTTCCGTAACTAATCGAAACGAAAGATGGAAGTAAAACTTCACCCCTTTTTCACAAAAGGTACAGTGTTGACACGATATATTTGATGAATGGAAATCAAACATATGTTGCTAGTTATTGGGCAATGCCAAGTACAGACGTGTTGTCACTGAGCAGCCCACCGTCAGATCTGGTATAAAACCTCAGCTACCAGCTGCTGAACAACCAGATGGCCCTCAGGGTTTTGAACTGGAGGAACAGCTCTCTCCCAGGCTCCCCCATGTTTGCTGGAAGCGTATGAGTCAGATAATGATCATGACACCGACAGTTTGTCATCAGACTCTGACTAGACAGTTGTAGATTACAATTTATATGTACTAACAATAATTAACAGAGTAACTGTATAAATTAATTAAAAATATTTATTGAAATTTTTCATAATCTCAGGTGTACAGTAAAATTTCTGGAGTGCTGAGTGAATTTTTCATGACACTAGGCACAGTGCCTAGTGGTTTAAAAAGTTTAGCCTGAGCCCTGAGAGAGGAACTGAAATTTAACATTCAATTTCTTTCATTATTGATAGGTTCCTTGTTTGATATTGTAATAATATGATTTCAATTCACTCTATTCTCCATTATTTTTTGACATGTCCCGAAACGACTTTCGTCTAGTTACCGAAATTACCTGACACTGAGCAATCAGAAAAGAGGGAAATCGTCACGTCGTAGTTCATGTTTGCGGAAGGAGAATACATTTTACTTGCATAGAGGAGGTTTTTAAAAGAAAAAATTATCAATCTTTCCAACGGTACTAAGGATTTTTCTGTAAATCAACTAGAAATGTTGTTTTTGATGCAAGGCAAGAAGGTTAGGTGGGGTTGACATTTCGACATCAAGAGCTTTTCTCCCTTCACAGTATATATATATATGATCATTCAGACATTGGGGGGTGTCATTTTTACTGAAAGTCGATCTAAACCCCTAAAACATGTAAAATTACTCTGAACACCTTAGTTTAGGTCCAAATATAGCTGTAACAAATTTTTAGGTGCCTGTGAGTGGGAACAGTGATTATGTAACGTTCCGGGGTCCGTACCCTAGTCACTTCTAAGGATCCCTGTGCTGTAAACTTAATTATAACTATACTACAGTTGCAAATATATACAAATATGTGTTACTACCTTGTAACCAGCATACCTATTACCTAATGCTTAATACATGATATGAACAGAATAATTACTGCACGACTATAGAACTATTATCAAAGCTATCTGCTCTGTATCAATATAACACACTACACACACTACCGTACAATCCAGGCAGAACACAACTCGACTACCTAGTCGCGGCTAGCCCTAGTCACTATAGTTGCCCTATAGTCAGCTACCTAGCTATATGACCTAGTCGCGCCGATCACGACAGCCTCATACTAGTATACAACTACAGCACTCTCTAATGACCACGACTATCCCTAGTCACGACTAGCTCTAACGACTATACCTAGTCACGACTAGCCTGGTCGCGACTACCCCTAGTCACGACTAGCACCAACGACTATACCTAGTCACGACTAGCCTGGTCGCGACTAGCACTGCACAGCCTATGCCCGTGACACCTTCTGTCTAACGGTATCTCGCTACAGCACTCAATCGTTTATTTAATATATCTTCCAGGCAGTGTGTGGATCAAGGCAAGACTTATTCAGTCACTTCTATCTTTCCAACACAAAGCCGGTCTCACATATATTAGGTACTTACGATCTGTCACTGCTGTGAACACGCCAAGATCGAAACAGAACTGGGCCGATTGTCGCTGGATTCTGCCTATTTATACCCTCTTGCTATCCTAGCGACACCTAGTGGTGAGTGAGGTATAATCACCTGTACGTTTTGATTGTACCTCGAAAACTATCTGTCTTCTAAGCGTTCGAATTACGGAGACATAACACAAATGATTAACGCCAACAGATCAACGTATCTAACCTGAATAATATGCTAAATCAGCGAAGGTAGGATTACGATATGTACATTCATCACATTACCCACGCCTCCGAGAACAACGCGTCCTCGCGTTATAAAAATAAAACAACTCTGGTACTGAACTCTCCAAGATGTAATGACATCAATCAAAAATATACACTATGATTCTTCTACAACAGCAAATGTTACCCTCATATAGTGATAACACAAATAGTCTGATCTACCTAATATTCTGAAGTGTAACTAGAATGCCACTGAGGTGGTCGTCGAGTGCGTGTTTGCCTGGAGTTGTTCTCAAACGTTTTCTCTCCATTTCTGACTGAACCACTGTTATTCACATCATTCTCCACCTCCATATGAGCATCTTCCATCACACTCCCATTCATTTCTCTAGATGACGCAGCATCCCCTACTTTCAAGTAGCTGAAACAACTCTCATCGACCTGTGTTTGTCGATCCCTTAACCCTCTCGCTTCTTGGGTATTTTCACCGCTCATGACCTGACCCTCTCGTAACTTCATACGGTCTGCATGGATGACCTGTGACTTCCCCTTGCGTCCGCAACGCACTCTGTAGGTGACGTCTGTCAATTTAGTCAGCACCTTGTACGGTCCTCTCCACCGACTTGATAACTTGTGACTTCGTCCCACCTTTACATTCGGAAAGAACACAAAAACTTCATTGCCTGGTTTGAAG